TCTACCATGTGCCAGGTGCTGCTCTGAGTGTTTTTACTTACTAATTTATTTAATCTTCTCAACGATTCCATGAGACAGGAACTATTATTATTCCATTTTCCAGATGAAGTAACTGAGGCTCACAGAGGTAAAGTCACTTAGCCACAGTGCTTAGAAGAGGAAGGGCCCAGTTTCAACTCTGGCATGGCAGCCAGGCTCCAGGCTTTTGGCCACTGGGCCATTATATCATCTCCTCTCATCAGGAGGGTGCCCCCCACCCCTGGGCCTTGCTCTTTCACCTGCCTTGAAATAGAAGTATAAGTAACTTACTCTACACCTCCTGAGCCCTGGGAGGGTGGGAGGTGGGAGAAGGATTGGGGTCACCAGAACATTCTGAGTGGCCTCCCTAAGGAAGGGCTGGGCTGACCTGTAAGGACTCTGTCAAGGTGATGGCTTAGGCCTGGAGCAGATGTTACTTGGTTTTGCTCAAGGCTGAGTGAAGAGATTTCAACCCTGTCTAACTGCCTGAGAAACTGGCTTGAGAGGGAAAAATTTCCACAGTTTTGATATTGATGAAATAAAATTCCTATTTTATGGTAAACTGAGAAAAATTTAAACATAAAGTTTTTGTTTTCCCGTTTGGGCCTCCTCCCTCCCGTTTAGTGTATATTGTACATCTGCATTAACCAAACCTCCTTAGGGAAGAACATTCCTTCTTAATCTCATCAAGGATCACAACTCTTAGGAGAGACAACCTTTGTTCTTTTTATCTTTTTTCTTCTTTTTTTAAACAACCTTCCTTGACCTTGTAAGGGGCCACAATGACCTATGACCCACAGCTTGCTTTGTACTTACACATCTGGATTGAGTGAACTGTCAGTAATGTGCCATTTGACGTATAACTAACCCTTCGTCTCAAAAATTTGTGTACCTGCTTTGACCTCTAATGGCGGGACAGTCCTCAAAGCTTTCTGAAGGACTGTCTCCTGAGTTATAGTTCCCAGGTTGGCTCGAATAAAAATTTCCCTTCTTTTCTTAGATTGACTATGGATTAAGTTTCTCATCAGTGATGTAGAGACAGCCCTTCAAGAAATTTCCTCTAATAAATAAATCCCCCTGGCTGCTAGTTGCGGCTTTTGCACAGCTGCTCTTTGCCCCATCAGTAACTGAGAGAAAGAGCAGCCAGAAGAATGATTCCCACTGAGCAGATGAGGAAGCTGAGGCTGCAGAGGGAAAGTGTCTCATCAGGGGTGAAGGGAGTCTGACCCTGCTAAGGCTTCTTCAGGCCTCAGGACAGCCAAGCCCGTGTTCCTCCCCTTCACCGTCCCTCGATCCCGCCACTTCCAGCCAGACCTCAGTGCAGGGACTCTAGGAGCTGGTTCCCGCATGACCTAAGTGTGGCTGTGATTCAGTTTCAGAAGTGACCTGCAGTGGATCCTCTTCTGTGCTGACGTGCCCTCCCTCATCCAAGAAGGCCCTCAGTACGTACCCTGACCCAGGACCCCAGCCCTTTGGCAGGCCGTGGTTCTGAGCCTGTGCCCTTGCCAGGCTCTATGAGGATTGATCCAGGAGGGTGGGAAGAGTTGGTTCATCCCAGGCAACCTGGGGAGAAGGTGAGAGGAGGAGGAGGAGGGGAGGGAAAGGGGAACTTACAGGTCAGGGTGCACATGCAGTAAACATTTGGAACAAAGGAGCAAGTGAACAAACGAATCTGGTCCGTCATCTCTCCTCCTCCTGGAAGCCCAGGTGATGTCTTTCCCTACTCGGCCTGGGAGAGGAGAGGGGAGCTCCCCTAGGGCATCAGACCTGTTCCCCACACTCCAGCTTCCAGGGCAGAGGGGGCCCAGGAAAGACACGACTTAGGGGTTGAGGGGCTGGGCCTTTCTCTCCCCAGGTGCGGGCTAGTGGCCTTGTGGATGGCAGGCACCCTCCTGGCACCCCACAGCGGCATCCCCCTGGAGAGAGTGGTGCAGGTGGCCATGGAGAGGGGTTACACGGCCCACGGGGAGATGTTCTCCGGTAAGTTGGGTGTGGAAGGGTCTCAAGCCAGGTGTTCTGCAGGAAGGGACTGGAGAAGTTGGCTGGGACACACCAGGTGCATGAGGGGACTTTGTTCCATTCTCTGGGCCCTTCCCCATCCAGTAGAGCGGAGTGTTACTAGGTGGACTCTGGAGCCAGACTGCTTGGGTTCCCAGCCCAGCTCTGCCACTGTCTGCTGTGTGGCCATGGACAAGCAGCTTACCCTCTCTATGCCTCACTTCCTACATTTGTACAGAGAGGTGATGGTCAAGGTGAAGGTTATGGGCACTGATTCCAGAAAGCCTTTGGCATGCTGCCAGGCCCACGGTGATCCCTCTTTCTCTGTCTGTTCTGTCCCTGCAGTGGCTGACATGGGCAGGCTGGCCCAGGAGGCACTGGGCTGCCAGGCAGAGGTGCTCTGTGGTGGCCTGGGTGGGCCTAACAGAGACCATGTCCTACAGCACCTTGTTGCCGGACATCCCCTGCTAATCCCGTATCCTGCAGCTGGGATGGGAGCTGGGCAGGGATGGAGAAGGGTGGGTCCCAGGGCCACACCACAGCTTTGGCCTTAACCCCAGTGCCAGCTACGATGAGGACTTCAACCACGAGCCATGTCAGCGGAAGGGCCACAAGGCCCACTGGGCAGTGAGCACAGGTGGGTGCCCTCTCCCATATCCTGTGCCCTCATCCAGAATCTCCCCAGCCCAGTCATCCCTCCTCACATTCTCACCTTCCCACTGGTCTCGAGGCAGGAACCAGGGTTGGGCCATCTCTGTCCCCATAGGGTCCTTAGCGGGGGCCTGGCTGGCAGCAGGTGCCTCAGTGTCTGCCAGTCGGGCTTTCCACAGACAGGAACTCAGAACGAGGACAGGAATCAAACAGTCTGAGCTGCAGGCTTGGTCCAGCCACTTCCAGGGCCTCCATTTTCCTATCTGGAAACCCAGGTGACAATAGTATCAATCTCATTGGCAGAGGAAGTAAAACTGTTTGAATGGTACTTGGTATGTCACACGTCCCAATAAGCGTTAGCTATGATTTGCCATCGTCATCTTTCCATCTGCCTGAAAGAAGGCCAGATTGGCACATCAGGTGGCCTGGATGGAGGCCTCCTTGTGTGCATGGCTGTCTGACTTCGAGGGCGCCTCTCTGAGCAGCGCCTTCCTGGACACCTGGAGGCCAGTGGGTCACGATGTTTCCTCTGTTCAGTGCCACCCTGCCACCTCCCTGTACTGACAGGCTGTAGAGGCGGGATGTAAAATGCCTGCAGCTCTCGGAACCCAACACCATGGGTCCAAATCCAGCCGGCTCTCTGCCTGCTGACCCCTGCTGACTTCTGCATGACAATGGGGTGATTGAGGCTGGGCCCACCTTGGACGACTATCGGGGCACCCAGTGAGCCCCAGCACCTCATCAGTGCTCAGCTCCTACTCACAGCCTCCCCTTCTCCTCCCAGGGGTCCTGCTGGGTGTGCAGGCTGTGCCTAGCCTCGGCTACGTGGAGGACCCCGAGCTGCCAGGCCTGTTCCACCCAGAGCCCGGCATGCCCCACCAGCCACCATCCGTGCTGGAGGAAGGCTCCCCAGGAGCCGTCTACCTTCTCTCCAAGCAGGGCAAGAGTTGGCACTACCAGCTGTGGGACTACGACCAAGTCCGGGACAGCAACCTGCAGCTGACGGACTTCTCGCCCTCGCGGGCCGCCGATGGCCGGGAGTATGTGGTGCCCGCTGGCGGGCTGCGGGCCGGCCTCTGCGGCCAGGCCCTGCTCCTCAGACCACAGGACTCTAGCCACTAGCCTGCTGCAGCCCCGAACCAGGGTGACAGGACCTGGCCACAGCCCAGCTTTGACACGTTTGCAGAGCGCCCCAGCTCCTCCCCCTGTGCCACAGCCCGAGGGTTGGGCTGGATCTCTGAGGATCTCCAACCAGAGCTCCTTCTTACAGGGTCCCCCTGAATCCATCCAGTCCCATTCTTGGGCATCACCCCAACTCCTCCTCCCCGAAGCCCACCACCCACTTACTCTGTGGGCTGGGGTTACAGCCAGGAGCCAGGCAGGCTTCCTCTACACAGAAGAGACTGATTGGCTCAGTCCCCAGATCTTGTCCAACCCATGTCAGTGTTGCTTCCACCCATTTCTCACTGGTGACCACCACCTTCTAAACCACTGCCTTCTCTCTGCAAAAGCCTCCTCACCGGACCCCTTGCTGCCTCCCAGTGTCTGTTCACATGGAGCTGGGAAGCCATTAAAAAGGCAAACCAAGGTCTCGCCACTCCCCTCCAGAGAAGTTGCCAGCAGCCTTGCCACTTCTGGCAGGATAGGGACTAAACTCCCAACCCCAGCTCACCTCCCTCACCCCAGGCTGTTCCTCCTCACACTTTCTGCCACCAGCCAGAGATTCTGGCCTTTCAGGTCCCTAGAGTGTTCTGTTCCCCCTGGAGCTTCTGCTAAAGATAGCTCTGAAATTTCTCTATCCTGGCTCCTTCCTCAGGGAACATTCCTCAGCCTTTGGGCTAGGCACCTCCCCAACCTGTTCTGATTAAAAACAAAAAACAAATGCCTTTAAGACTGGTTAGTGTGCCAATCCCTTTACCCCTGTTAATTCATCAAATCCTGCAGCTTCATAAGGAAGGTACTAGATCCTCTCCATCTGACAGATGGAGAGACTGGCCTGGGGAAGTGCAGTCACTGGCCTAAAGTCACATGACTGGCAAGTGGCAGGGACAGGATTCAAACCAGATAATACCAATACAGTTAGATTACCATTTAACGAATACCTGTTGCATCCACTCTGAGAGGGGAGGAATTGAGCTGTCTTGGCCACTGCTGCTTCCCCTGCACAGAGCCAGGCACCAGAGTAGCAGCTCAGTGACACCGGTGAATGAACCTGCCTGCCCTGAGCCTGCCTCCACCCCAAACCAGTCATGATCCCCTCACTGCCCCATCACTAATGTTCAGATTATGAGTTCTGAGCCCACACACCCGTGATGCAAAAGAGAAGACTCCACAAAACTGACTCTGAATGTGCTGTTTATTGGGGTGTCCTCATGGGGGGGAGACGGTGCACTGATTTTGCCTCCTGTTCCCCAGCATTGCCCCACCTAACAACTACCTCTCACGTATAAATAAGTAATAAAGATAGTCAGTAGAAAAGGAGCGCACCTCGGCCCTGGAAGACCACGTTAGAGCTTTGGCTTAAGGAGAGGGAGGTGCCTGTCCTCCCCACGTCCAGCCTTGCAGGCCAGGAACCCAGAGTTAGGTGCAGGAGGAAGACACCTCAGGGTGCTGGGGTCTTTGGTTTGGACCAGGTTGCAGGCCCAAGGTGGTGGCCAGTAGCCCCACCCACCCTGTGCCTCAGGCCAAAGCAGGGCCTCTTCACGGCAGAGGCTAGGGATGGGGGCCTCCCGAGGGAGGCAGCTGATTCCCAAGCCTTCTTCTCCATCTGAAAGTCCTTCCTGCCACCGCAGTCTAGTCCGCTAGGAGGAAGGAGACAGAAAAGGGTAAAGGGCAGATGAGGAAGTCCCGAGGCTGAGGTTGGTGCCCGAGGAACAAGGTTGTGCTGGTCACAGTGCTGACACGGGACTTGGCCGTGGTTTTAGTCTGCAGGGGTCAGCAGAGTTCTCCCAGGAGTAGGGAGGATGCCATGGGGCCAAAGGTGGAGAGGACAGGGTGAACGAGGCCCCGCCCAGCAGTGTCAGCTCCCAGGCCAGTCCCGTGGGGCCACACCCTTAGAGCCAGTTGGCACTCTGAGTGCCCACCGCCCCCGGATGAAGAGCTGGGGCTATAACTAGTCTGGGTGGTGAACCAATGGCTCTTACATTTGTTCACAAATAAGGTCTGGTTCTCCGGGGCCCCACAGGGAGCCAGCTTGCAGAGGGAGGGGCTGACAAGGAGGCAGTGATCACAGTCATTCATGTGGTGACAGGCCCAAGGTCACGCCTGTGCCTTGCGGCATCTGCATTGTGTTCTTCCAAGGCGCGTGGTTTAGTTGCACCCTCTGCAGCCCCTTCCTGGCTGGTCAGAGGACCCAGTCTGGTTCTGACTCATGGTGGGACCCAACCAGGTCACGCTGCCTTGCCAGTTCTTAACAACCCCTGTGTCATGGAAGATTAGGCGCTCCCTGATCTCCAAAGGCCCTTCGATCTTCCACGCTGGTCCTGCGTGGTGTGCAACACAACCTCTCCCATCCCTGGACTTCAGCTCCCCCATGGCCAACCTCAGGCCTCCACGCATCTCGGGGCCCCTCCAGCCAGACGGTCACCATCCAATAAATAAACCTGGGGATGGGCGAGCGGGTCAACTCTGAGCCAGGCCCTGGAGGAGGCGAATCATGTTGTCCAGGCCCCAGAGGTAGCCGTCCTCACGGTTGCCCTCAGCCCAGGGCAGCCGGTGGCTGAGCGTCTGGTGGTCAGGCAGGGCCACTGTCTTGCCGAAGTCGATCATCCAGACCTTGGCCAGGCCGGTGTGGTCGTGCACAAAGAGGAGGGAGCTGCCTACCACCTGCAGAGGGAGGGAGAGGCAGGAGGTTAAAGGGAGGAGCAGGCACTGGCCAAGGTCCTTGCTTCTCCAGGCGGCTGAGCAGGGTATCTGACAGCATGAACTTTGGAGCCAGGCTGCCTGGGTTCAAATTCGAGCTTTACTTTCCTTCCAGTGAAGGACCGATTATCACAGAGGTTCACAGGATGAAACTCTGGCCCACGGGTCTTACTGTAGTTTACATGTGCCTATAAATTATTTAGAAAAAAGAAAAGAGAAAAGAAAAGGGAAAAAAGGGGGAAAAATGGTGTCTTAACCTGGCAATTTACCAAACTACCTTAAAAACAGATGCTGGTGGCAGGAGGGTATAACTCAAATGGTAGAGGGCTTGCTTAGCATGCAGGAGGTCTTGGGTTCAATCCCCAGTGCCTCCTCTAAATATAAATAAATAATTTACCTACTCCTCAAAAAACAAACAAACAAAAAACCCCAAATGTTAGTGACATAGTTAAGTAGCAATGAGCCTCATATCTATGGTCTGTCTGTCCTGTTGTTCCAAAACCATTTCACATACGTACACTACGGAGGTAAGTTAATAACTTGAAATGTGAAGCCTTCTTTTTGGGGTTAAGAACAAACTATATGAATGTTAGAAAAAAAAATTTCCTGAGTTCTCTGTTTTCAAACATGCTGGCAGTTTAGTTGTTAAGTTGCTTTGTATTTGAAAAGATTTTTAAGTTTATTTAGACCTTGCTTCATTGACAGAACACTGTTAGGATGTATATAGTAAATAAAGCTTTCTTTAAAGAAAAAAAAATCCTAGCTCTGCCACTTACTGGCTCTGTGGCCTTGGGCAAGTGATTTAACCTCTCCTTAATCTCTGCGTCCTCATCTACAAAGTCAAAATGATGGATTGAGAGCACCATTTACCTCAAAGGTTGTGCTTACTATAAGTATGAATTAATCCAGATGAAGCTCTTAGAAGAGTAGCCCACATAAACAAATGCACAACTAGCTTAATTGTTACCCTTTTTCAAAATAGGGTACAACTCAAATGCCAGCAGGATCCTGATTGGGTCAAAGGAGCCTGGTGGGGACTGAGAAAGTGGATAATATCTCCCTGTGGCTAAAGGGCAGCAACTATTAGCCCCAGTGGATTGCTGCTGGGGACCCCAGACCAGTGGCTTCCTTTCCCCGGGCCTCAGTTTCCTCATTTGTAGAATGGGGATGATAACAGCCCCTGCCTCCTGGGGTCAGGACAGCATTCCATGATCTGCAATTCACAAGGTGCCTTGTGGGGTCTGGCACACAGTCCTCAGCAGACACTGGGGTTTTTAGTTTTTGTTTTTGTTTAATTAGAAATACATTCCTGGGGGGGAGGGTATAGCTCAAGTGGTAGAGTGCATGCTTAGCATGCAGGAGGTCCTGGGTTCAATCCCCAGTACCTCCTCTAAAACTAAAGAAATAAATAAACATAATTACCACCCCCTCTGGCCAAAAAAACTAAATAAACAAATCACTCTTCAGAAATACATTCCTGCCTTTCATGTAACTCCATGTTTGTAAGCCCGTCCCTTTCACTAGTTGGGTTTCAAACACCATGACTCCCAGAGAACCCAGACGACTGGGCAGGTGAGCAGGTGGCTGTCAGAAGAAGGTCAGCATATGGTGAGCGGCCCAGCGTGGCCACGTCTCCCGTCACGCCAGGGGAAACTGGAAATCTCAATCTTGGTGTGAAGTCTCACACGTTTTAAATATTGGCAACTCATCTCTTAAAATGTGAAGTCACCAGGCAGGTGAAACTAAACAGGAGGACTGAAGAGATGGGGTCCCCGGGCCTCCTCTTTGTGACTTGTGTGTAAAGCCCGAGGGTAGTGATGAGGATGATGAGGGTGACTTTTGGTGATAACAAACGTGACAGTAAAAGTTGGCACATACTGAGGGTTTACCGTGGGCCAGGCTTTAACTGTTTATTAATCCACTTAACCTTCACCACACCTGTGAGGCAGGTGCTGCTGTTTCCCCATCCTGCGGGTCAGGAGACAGGCCAGCAGAGCCGCTGCCCAGGCTCCGGTGGCTGGGAGTCAAACGCCTGCCTCCCAGATCGGTGCCCTTTCAGAAGTCAGTGACAGCAGGAAAGAGACAGGGGCTTGGAGGGAGAGGCAGAGATACACAGTGACGTCACCCCTTCCCAGACTTTCTGAAACAGCCTGGAGAGATGAATGTTTCCAAAGAGACACAGGCTGCCAGAGGGAGACGAGAGGGGAAGGGGAGAGCCACCAAACCAGGAACACAGGGAACAATCATTGTAAATGATTGTGATTATAAAATAATCACAAGAGCTGGGCGCCAAGAGCAGGTCTACACTCCCAACAATGCTCTGCAGTCTTCTACCTCGGTGGCTCTGTAAGGAAGGTGCTATTGTTCCTCCCATGTTAGGAGGAAACTGAGCCCTGAGAAGGTAGGTCACGTACCCAGGGTCACACAGCAGAGCCAGCCTTCATCCTCAGGCCACCTGGCTCGAGTCCACGCTCCTAACTGTCCCACCTCCCTGAAATCCCTCAGGCTGCCTCTACCGTAAAGAAACAAACCCTCAAACTGGGCCTCTTTGGCCTGTGACCCTGCCGGCAGTTTCTCCTAAGTGCCACCTGGACCCCGACACTGCCCCCAAACACTGGGCCCTTCGTCCCCACAGTGGCCAGGGCTCGCACCTCGTGGGTCTTGAAGAAGGGGGAGTTCTCCAGAGCTTCACGAAGTTCTTCTAGGCGTGCCACGTACTTTCTCTGTGCATGAGAGGGAGGGTTTCTTCGTTAGCTTAGGGACTTTGTGGGTCCTTACCCACCTTGAGATCTGACCTCATTCCGCACCCCCAGAAGGAGCAGGCAGACCCCAGCCAGGATGGGATGAGGGGAGCCATGGGGAAATGGCAGGTGGGGGTGGGTGCATGGCACAGACAAGAGTGTGGTCAGTAGATTACAGGAATACCCACAATTCCTAGCAGCTCCTCTCACCAAGAGGTGGAGTCTTTCCCTTAGAATCTAGGCTTTGGTCATTATGACTTGCTTTGTCCAGAAGAACATGGCAGGAAGGATGGTGGCCATTCTGAGCCTAGCCATCGAGAAGCTTGGATTTTTTGCTTATTCTCTTGGCAGGCTGCTTCCACCATGAGAACAAGCCCGGGCTAGCCTGCTGGATCAAGCCATCAGCTGAGACAGTGAGGCAGCCACCAGACATGAGTAGAGCCCTCCTAGACCAGCCAGCCCTGGCCATGCCACAGCTGGCCAGACAGTGAGCAATGCCAGCTAGTATCAGCCAGCCTCGGCCCACAGCAAATGACTGCTGTGGGGAGGGTATGGCTCAGTGGTAGAGTGTGTACTTAGCATGCATGAGGTCCTGGGTTCAACCCCCAGTACCTCCATTAAAATAAATAAATAAACCTAATTACCTTCCTGTCCCCCTCAAAAAAGAAGATATCCCTGAAGAAAAAGTCATAGTGGCAATGTATGCATGGCCCTAAATTAGGCACCTTAATAGATCATGCAAGAGTCCCATTAAAAAAAAGAAATGGCATGATAAAAAAAAAAAAAAGAAAAGAAAAAGACCATTGACTTGGGAGCAACCATGACAGTGGTGGTCCTAAGCTGGGTGCCCCGCTCACCAGGATGGCATGGTTTCCGTCCACAAAGTCCTCCAGCACCTTTGTCACCTGCTCCAGCTCCTGGGTTTTCTTGAAGTTAGTGTTGCAGGTCCCATTGGCTTTCTGCAGGATGAGGGGTAGCATGCCTTTTTCTTTCCACGCCCGACATCAAGCAGCCTCAGGCACCTCTAGGAGCCGCCTACCTGCCTCTATGCTCACCTGCTGCCCAGGGGAAGCCAGCCCACCTGCCCAGCCCCAAGTCATACTCCTGAGCAACCAGTCCTTCAAGTCTAACCTTGAACTCCCTGGTGGAGCCAGTCTAGCCAAGAGGGCTTTGCAGCAGGGGTGGATCTGGCCTTGAATCATGACTGCTACTTCCTGGCTGGGTGGCCTTAAGCAAGTCACTTCACCTGCCTCAGCTGTGATTTCCTCAACTGGAAAATGGGAATTGTGTTAGTATCTTCCTCCTAAAGCGATATAAGGATTAGAGGAGACTGGGTGTGCAGGATACACCGCACAGTGTCTGGCATGTAGTAAGTAAGCACTCTGTAAATGAGACTAATATTTTGTTATGTCTGAGACAGGCATAAAGAAGCCCCCTGAACCATTCTGCCATTTGGTGCCAAAGTGCCATGTGGGCACTGGTAACATGGAGATAACAGGACAGGTACAAGCAGATGAGGGAGGCAGGTATTGAATAAGGTCATCACAAAGGGAGATAAGAATAATGGAGTAAAGGGAGTTATGAAGAGATAAAGAGAGGCTGTGATCTAGTAGGGTGGAAATCAAGGAAGGCTTCCTGGAAGAAATGAAATTTGTAAGGAGACATGAAAATAAGACAGTCCTGGCACAGGGAACATCATGTGGAGAGGGCCTGTGGCAGGAGAGGGCAGGACTCTACCTAACAAATGAAAGTACTTCACTGGGCCATCTACAGGGGACTGTGGCACAGCCACAAATAGCTATTATAGAACTGTAAAAGAAGGAAGGAAAGAAGGAAGGGCGGGAGGGAGGAAGGAAGGAAGGAAGGAAGGGTCTCCTATCTCTCTATGAAATGATATGGAAAACTCTCCAGGACTATACCACCTTTTGTAAGAAAGGGAGGAAAATTTAGTATGTACAATTGCATTTGTTTGCATATACAGGAAAAAATATAAAAAAATGATAAAGTGCTTTCCCATGAAGAGGTGGGGGGTGGCGGGACAGAATGGGAAGGACAGCAACAGGGCTGGGAGAGAGATTTCTCCTATATTCCCTTTTATAATATTATTTTGACTTTCGAACTGTGGGAATAGCTATTCAAACAACTAGATTTAATTCACGAAAGGAAGGAAGGAAGGGAGAAAAGAAAGAAGAAAACAGAAAATTTTTCTCCATAACGAGGAAAAAGCCCCTGCAGCTGCTGTGTTGGATGATGGTCAGAGGGGGTAAGGCCAGGGTCTGGAAGCCCAGGGAGACAAGGGCCGGAGAAGATGGGGCCGGAGGCAAACAGAGCCTTGGGAAGGGGAAAAGAAGATGGAATTGAGAGATGCTCAGGCAGACAGATAAACAAAACTTGGTCCTGATGGACGCTTGGGTGAGAGAGAAGCAGGGCCTCTCCTAGCCCCAGTCCTTCCATCCTCTGAAGTCTCCTGCTCTCTCTCCAGATCTTGCTTCTTTCCAGCTTTCTCTGACACTCTGGTTGCCTAGGAAGCCCTGCCTCAGATCTAGCTCCAAGCCCTCTAGAGACAGGCAGGCTAGCAGCTCCTGGCCCTCACCTTGATGCCCTCGATCCGGAAGCCCAGGGTGGAGGTGGAGCTCATGGTCTCCCGCCACTGCATGTAGCGGGGCTTGGTGACTGCACCCTGGGCATGTTCCTCAGGGGTGGGGGCCCCAGGGTCCACAGCTACCATCTTCTCATACATGTCTTTGCGGGGCCGGGGCCGTTCTCGTGCCTTCACCAGCTCCTCCTCCAGGTAGGTTCTGGGACAAGGAGGGTGTCACAGAAGAAATTATGAAGAACAAAGCTGGAGGACTTATACTCTCTGATTATCAAGGCATATTATAAAACTACAGCGTGGCACAAGAACAGACAAATAGATCGATAGACCGGAACAGAGTCCACAGACACACACACATCTACATTCACCCAATTTATGACAAGGAGGGCACTGCAATTCAGTGTAGAAAGGGAAATCTTTTCAATAAATGGTGCTGGTCAATAGGATATGGGGAGGGAGAAAAAAAAAAAGAACCTCAATCCCTACCTCACACCATATAGAAAAATTCATTCTAGATGGATTGCAGATCTAAATGTGAAGTTAAAACAAAGCCTATAGAAGAAAACATAGGAGAAGAGCTTCATGACCTTGGAGTAACATATTTTTTAAATACAAAGCTACTAATCATCATGGACAAAATTGACAAACTGTATTAAATTTAAAGTATTTAAAAAAAAAAAAAACCAAGGACCTACTGTATAGCACAGGGAACTATATTCAACTTCTTGTAATAACATATACTGGAAAATAATCCAAAATTAAAAGTATGCATATGTATAACTGAATCACTTTGCTGTACACCTGAAACTAACATTATAAATCAACTACACTTTAAAAAAAAAAGTTCATGGACATAAGGGTAAACTAAAAAAAAGGTAAGTCTGTTTATCAAAAGATATTATTAAGGGAATGAAATGAGAGAGTTGCAGGATGGGTGTGTGTGTGTGTGTGTGTGTATCTCCAGCAAAGGACTTATTTCTAAAATACATAAAGAATTACAAATCTTTATAACACAAAGAAAAAGACAGACAGCCCAAAAGAAAGGTGGGCAAAATATTAAAATGGGCACTTTTCCAAAGAGGATATCCAAGTTGTCAACCAATGCTCAACTTCTTTGGTCATCAGAGAAACAGACATTAAAACCATAATGAGACATTCACCAGAAGGGCTAAAAGTGATATAACAGGTAATATGAAGTGTTGATAAGAAGACAGAACAACTGGAACTCTCACACACTGTTGGCGGGAAAAGATGCTGGTAGAACCATTTTGAAGATCAGCTTGGCGCTATCTTCAAAAATGCCCACCTGACCCTCCACCTCTGCCCCATGGCTGCCCCTGAGCCTACCTGCTGCCCATCTTGCAGTCCATGATGGAGGGGTTTTCAAAGTCTGCCAGGAGATCTTCCATCTGGTTGAAGGCCTGGCCATCCCGCTGCACCATGCCATAGTAGGCTGGCACGAAAGGCCGCAGGGGGTCCCGCATCAGCTGCTCCAGGCTCCGCTGCTCGCACTGACAGAAACGCTTTAGAATCCAACCATCCTCTCCTGCCTGGAAGTTCCCTATGAGCAGCAGTCAAGGAGAGGGTTAGAAACTGAATGAGCAAGACTCCCCCCCATCTCTCATATGTATCAGATCCTCGCCATCATCATTTTGCCTGACCCTCCCACAATACTTCCCTTCCCTGCAACTCTCAAAATCTGGGCCAGAGGTGGTGAAGGAAGGGCCTATTTCTGCATTTTGTTTAAACAGGGTCCTTTTCACAATACCAATGATTGTGTCATTGGTTTTATAATTTTGGATTATGAACTCACCATCAGCTGTGGGAATTTTTTGTAAGATCTGAGTTAAGAGCATGACTTCCCAGAGCAGATTTGCATTTGCTTCTGCCTGGAGTCCCAGAGTGCTAACAATCAGGACCTTGTTAAGTTAAGTTACAAATCTGGCATTTCCTGAGTCATGCAGATAGTTAGTGTATCTTAGAATTACAAATTCTCATTGAGGCAGATTGTATTTTCAGATTATATTTTCCAAAGATGGCTGCAACAGTAGTTCATGTCCCACATTATGCTCTTCTAGAATTCTACCACTCACAGCAAGAGGTGGAATCTATATACCAGAAATTAACACAACATTGTAAATTAACTATTTCAATTAAAAAAGAAGTGGAATCTAATTTTTTTCCCTTTGAATCTGAGAGGGCTTATGCCAGAAGTAACTTCAGAGTCTAAGTCTTAAAAGGGGATAAGCTTCCACTTTGTTGGCAGAGACACCTTTGCAGCTCTGAGCAGCCATGTACGAAACCTGACTGCTCTGAGGCCACCACATTGTGAGGAAGCCCAAGCAGCCACACAGAAAAGCCACATACAGGATTTCCAGCTGAGAACCAGCAAGCAGCCAGCATCCACTGCCCGGCGTGTGAGTGAATGAACCTCCAAACATTTTCAGCTTGCAGCCTTCAAGTTGTCCTAGCTGAATTCCCAGGTATTGCAGAGCAGCCACAAGCCATCCCTGCCATGCCCTGTCTGAATTCCTGACCCCAAACCTGTGAGTGTAATAAAATCCTTGTTTTATTCCACTAAATTGTTTTTTTTTTAAACCACTGCTAAGTTTTGAGTTTTCCATTTTTTGTTTTTTTGTTTTTTTTAACTCAGCAATAGTAACTAGGATACATACAGACGGCTGGCCTGTGTTTTCAGTTTGAGGGGGGCCTTGCCTTTCTCTGGCTCAGATCTAAGGATGAACAGGCAGATAAGTTCCCTTCCTGCCTCCCTCTGCTGGTAGCTACAGTCTGTCTAGTCCAGCCCACTGCTTGTTTTTGTAAACAAAGCTTTATTGGAACACAGACACACTCACGTTTCTGAATTACCTATGGCTGCTTTCATGCTGCAATAGTAAAGTTGAGTAGTTTATACTCATTGTCCAGCCCTTTCCCAAAAGTACTATATGCTCGGCCTTGTGCTACAGTGTTACAGACATTGTGCTAGGTTCTGGGGGAAAACCCTCATAGCTGTTTTTTACTGGGGGCCTACCTTTCTCTGACACAGGGCGACGATAGGGACTGAAAATTGTCGTTTATGAGGGACCTGTCTCTCAATCTTGATATACATTTTGATGTTAACCCTTCAGTTTACCCTGCAAGGGGGGTACAATTATCTCATATTACAAAGGAGGACACTGAAGACCGGTGAGGGAAAGTAACTTGCCCAGGGTCATCCACTAATAAAGAGCAGAACTAGGATTTGAGCCCAGGCCCGTCTTTCCCCCTGGTTGAAGGTTTGTCCTCAATTCCCAACACAGGAGTAACAGGGAACAGCCCTCCATCCTGTCTCTGATGTACGAATGGCCCGGCCCAGCCCTAAGTACTTCCAATAACAGCTCCCTCAGCCCCCTGGAGACTGTCACCAAGCCCATTTTACAGACGGGGAAACTAAAGTACAAAGAGCGGTCCCTTCCCCAGCCCAGGCGTCTCTGCCCAGCCCTGCCTGCCCCCTGTCCTCCCTTCTCCCTGCCGCTCTTACCAGAGTGTCCAGACAGCTGGACCCAAGGGTAGTGTTTTCGGAAGGAGACCACAAAGGGCGAATACTTCAGAACAGTCTTCAGCTTCTTCCATGGTTTGTTCTGTGTGGGGCAGAGAGGCTGCGGTCAGGGCAAGGCTGAGGAGGGAAGGGGATGGGGCTGCTGCCATGAGAGGGAACCAAGCTGGACCTGGGGTCTTCCCAGGGCCGGGGGTTTCCTGGTCCCTAGTCCCAAGCTCACTGGGGTGAGCAAATCTCACTTACTTTAGCAATCATGAGATCACAAAAGGCCTCAGCAAAGGCGGGGAAGAGCCTCTGTCCATTTCTCTCTGTGTCTGTCATCACTTTGTGTCTCTCTGTCCTTCTCGAAGGACTAAAGATAGGCCAGGTTTTGTTGCATTTACCAGCAACCCCCAAATCTTCCCCCAGACATATACACGCCAAAAACATGGAAGCCTTCTCTGTGTCCCTGAATTAAGTCAGATCTTCCAAGGAAAATGATACAGGCAGGAATTGATGGATGGAGGCTGAACCACAGGGACAGACAGAAACAGAGACAGATGACAAAGTGATGACAGAGACAGAGAGACAGGGACGAAGACGGAGATTGCGGCAGTCATGACAGATGGAACTTAGCTTTGGCCAATGACATGTGAGCACTCCTGAGTGGAAGCCTTAAAGCCAGTGCATGACTCTCCATGTTCTGTTCCCTATTGTAGAAAAGGGTTGGGGCAGGGTATAGCACAGTGTGCATGCCTGGCATGTGTGAGGTCCTGGGTTCAATCCCCAGTACCTCCATTAAAAATAAATAAATGAATAAATAAACCTAATTACCTCCCCCCACACACATACACAAAAGGAAAATTGTTGGGGGAACTGTGGGAAGAGAAACAGGCTGAGTGAAGACAGCACAGAGCAGGGCACCCTCACCCATCATTTACCAGGTCAATGTGAAGTATGAACAAAAATAATCCTTTGTTGCTCAAAGTCACTAAGTTTGGGGGATGGTTGTTACTGTAGCAAATTCTGATCTCTTCTGACAGGCACAGAATTACTAGACGAGAAAGACAGAAAGACAGAAAGGGAGACAGATACAAAGTAATGACAGAGAAAGAAAAACATAGAAGCAGAGAAAGACAGAGAAAGAGAAAGAGACAGGAGCAACAACAACATCAAGAAAAAAACAGAGAAGTAAAGAGAAAGCAAAGATTTAGTTGTATCATGTTGACTGAAACAAGAGCTTCTTGAGACCTGGTTAGTGTCTGATTCACCGCATGCACACAAGCAAACACAAATACCTTCTCTGCTCCAAGCACACAGCAGGCTCTTAGCAAGCACTGGGAGAATGGGTCGACCCCAGAGGAAAAAGCTGTGTGCCTCATCCCCTCCGACCCCAGGGCTGAGACCATGTTCTCTCCTGCCTCCCAGAGCCCAGCTACCTAGCAGACATCTAACTGACGGTGGGAAGGGGCAGGGTGTTAGACTGCAGGATTCAGGAAGGGCTATTCCCTCCCCTCTCCAGCTGCCAGCCCTGGAGAGGAGGTGATTAATAAAGGTTCCTGTTTACTAAGCACCTGGAACATTCCAGGCACAATGACAAAGGTTCAGTGTGCCACAACCTACTTAATCCTAAAAACACAACCCCAGGGGGATTGTTGACTGCTACAGAGGAGGAATCAGAGATGCAGAGGGGTGAAGTCACCCGTCCAAATCACATAGCCCAGTGCTGAGGTCTTATCTCTGGTCCAACCCCACTGCCCTGGGCTTACCCACTACAGCCCTGCTGGACTACAAGCTTTGAGGGCAGGTCTGGGGTTGTCATGGTTACGACCGTGTCCCCAGGCATGGCCTGATACACAATAGGTGCTCCAAAAATGTTGTTTGGATTGAAGAAGGTTGGTTGAAACTGTCTCTTTTTTTTTCCATAAGCATTTTCAGTATCGTCTCTCTCTTTTCTTAGATCTCACAGTTAATCTGGGCTTTCTCAGATGGTTTCATGATGGCCTCAGCCCACGTGCCCCTTCTCTAGGAAGCCCTCTCTGGTCTGGCCAGTCACCTTCTCTAGACTCCCACAACCCTCTGGGCTTCCCCCATCCCTGGCCTGACCACTCTGAGCTGTCACTGCCTGGTGATGGGTCTGTCTCCTCCACCGGCCTGGGTGCTCCAAGTAGGCAGTGTCTGGGTCACTGCTGTGTCCCTAGCAAAGCCAACATAGGGCCGGACACATACTAGGGATTGGGAACTGTTTGTTGTCTGATTAGGAGGACAGGATGGATATAAGAAGGAAGGACGAGGGGAGGAAAGGAAAAAAGTAGCTGGGCCTTTAAGGTCAGATGGGATTTCAAAACGAAGCGGGAAGGAAGCGAGGGGTATTCTGGGTGGTGGGAACAGCTTGAGCAATGCGTGGAGGCAGGATGGCAGCCGGGTGTTCGAGAGAACAGTGTGTACTTCAGCTTCCCTGCAGCAGAAGGGGTCAGGAGGGGAGCTGAACTAGGAAGGAGCTGGAGACAGGAAGCTCTGAACACAGGACTAAACTCCTGATCGCTATCAGCAAGGCCCTGGGGAGCCATGGAAGACTCTGGAGCAGGGAAAATTCAAAAGTTAATCAAAGCTGGGCTCTGGAGACAGATTCTGGAATGATAAGGAAAAACTGGAGATCAGGAGACCTGGGAGGAAGTCAAGTTAGGGATGGATCCACACGCTGCAAGGGTTAAAAAGACTGGGTTTTCAAATCAGCCAGAACTGAATTAGAATCTGGGCTCCCACTAGACTTGGCCAACTCTCAGCAAGTGCCCTCACCTCTCTAGGCCTCAGTTTCCTCTCTGTAAAATGGAGATAATAAATAATCCCACTCTTACAGCCCTGTTATAAGGATGCGATGAGTTAATACGTACACAGCACTTGGGAAAGTGCCTGGTGTTCAGTAAGAGTTTGAATTGCAGTTCTGTGTCTTCCAAGGTCTGTGACTTTGGATGAGTCTCTGTGCCTCAGTTTCCTCATCTCTAAAATGGGGATAATAGGACCTCATAGGGCTGCTGTGAAGATTAAATGAGTTAATACGAGCAAGGAGCTTAGCACAGGGCTGAGCACAGGCAAATGATAGCTGCTATATTTTTTTTCTTCATGCACCTCAGTGCAGCTGTTCTCAGATGACAAGGAGGTGAGGGAGTAGGCAGAGAGAGCAGCAATGCAGAAAGCCCCCAGGGTCAGCTCCTTGACTCCAGCACAGGCAGGTTGAGGCAGGTCTGTCTCTTACATCTGTGGCCATATGTGGGAGCACATTCCTAAAGGGAAGCATGTGGGGTGAGGGGGGCTCAGGGAAGACTCCAACCAAGGGCCCCAGGACAACAGGGGGAGGACCCAGCAGGCAGACTCAAGTCCACGTGAGGCTCTTGCACCTGCCTCTGTGCTGACCCTCCCTCCCTGAACCTGCCCTGCCGGCCTCCTGATTCACCAGAGGAGAACCGCACCCAAGCTAGAGGTGAGGGTGGAGAATGTAAACAAGAGTCTGCAGGAGCGCTCCTGGGGGCTTGGGGGGCAATGGGGAGATGGGAGAGCCCCTGGCTAGGCTGGGGGTCCCATAGCATTTGGGGTTCACATAGCCCTTTGAGAATCTGATAAAAGCTGGGAGCTCACTCCTTACAAAAGTGAATGAGCTAAGGGGGGTGAAGGTTGGTGACCCCTTAAGGCAGCCACAGGCTCCAGACTAAGAAATACAGGGTAGAAAGAAAGTGCACCCTTTCTGTCTCCCTATACTAGTGCTCTTCAGAGTCTGGGGTCATAGACTGTCTAGAGGATCCAACAGAAGTCATAGACCCTTGCTGCAAAGCATGTTTATACACACACAGACTCACACAATTTCAGGGGTTCCTGGGTGCCAAGAAGTCGGCCAGTGACCATCCATTTTAGACCCCAGGACTGGAGGCGGGAAGGGGGGTGCGTGAGGGGAAAGGACAGCATTAAGAGGAGGGTGCCTGGAGAGCATTAGTAGCCCTGCTGTCAGAGGGAAGAGGTGCCCAGAGATGAAACTGCTGGCAGAGTTCTAGAGAACTTCTCAAAAGAAAGGCAGGGGGGAATTAGGTTTTGCGGGGATGCGGCTCAAAGGCAGGATGGGTCCCACTCACCCCAGACCTGTCCTCAGGGTCGCTGGCACCTCCGCCCCCGGCCACCACGTCATCCTCAGACTCGTCGAAAGAGGAGGCAGAGGAGAAGCCACCACTGCCCACCTCAATCTGGGAGGGGGGTTCCACCGGCTGAGCCTCAGGCTCAGGGGTTTCAGGAGTGATGATGAGGCGGGGCACAGGGGTTAGGGGGCTACATTCCAGGTGAGAGTACAGGTGAGTCACCAACTCCCCGTGTTCTTGTTCCTCTAATGGGCCATCTTGGTTGTTCTCCCCCAAAAGGCAGTCTGTCCCAGGCTCTGTCTGGGGACCATCAGTGCCAGGCTGTGTCCAGAGGCCATCGGTATCTTGTGTTGAGAAACCATCGGTGCCAGGCTGTTTCCAGACTGTTTCAGTATCCTGCGGTATCTGGGAGCCATCACTGTGCAGCTCAGTCCAGGGGTCTTCAGTATCCTGTTTTGTCCTGGAGCCATCAGCGTACAATTCTTTCCAAGAGCCATCAGCACTTGGCTCTGTTGAGAGAGAGGCTCCCTCTGGTTGAGTCCAGGCGTTGGACCTGTTCTGGTGGGTCCAGAGGTTAGCCCAGGGCTTGGCCCTCGCTGGCTGGGTCTCTGACCCATGTATTTCTAGCTCTGTCCAGGGCCCATCAACCCCTGGCTGTGCCCAGAGGTTAGCCCTTTCTGGCTGAGACTGGAGGTCGAACCTGTGTGGATCAGCCCAAAAGCCATCTGTCCCGGTGTCTGTCCGGGCACCGGCTGTCTCCAGCTCTGAACAGTGAGTGCTCCTTTCTGGAAGTGTATGGAGGATGGACCTGCCTGTCTTTTGGCTGGGCCGCTCCGTCTCCGCTCCGAGGCCAGCTGCTTCAACCTCAGCCTGTCCGTCGGTCCCCGACTCAGGCCCAAGGCCGGCTCTCTCGGGTTCGGTGTGGATATTGGATCC